TGTCATTACAGCAAAGACCCAGGAGCACACGAACCTGTCACTCAGAAGGTGCACAGGACTCGGGATGACCTCCTGACCTTGGTCGTGGCTTTAAAATTGGTCTAGAATTGCATTTGGCGCAGAGCAAGCAGGAAAAGCTTTGGGAAATGCTGCTAGGCCTGTGAAGATCAATTACTCCTACTGTGAGGAATTGACAGTTCTCAAGATGGTAATGGCTCCTTAGCCTGAGTACTGAGAAGACACAGCACAGGGAGAACAGGTGGATAGGAGCTGCTTTAAGGGTTTGTTCACTGGGCTGGCGATGGAGAAAGAATAGGTATTTTTTTGACTGATGGGAGCAATTCAAAGGCCCCTAGAGGCAACAAAGAGGATGAGCGGTGTGTGAGTTTGTGCATGTGTGTTCACCTGTGCAGGTGCATTCTCCTCCCCTTGTTTTTTCTAGACAGTCTCTCACTGAGCATAGAGGTCACCCACCGTATCCACTAGGCAGCCAGTAAGCCTTAGGAACCCACCTGTTTCTGCTCCCCCAAAGAACGAGTCTACAGATATGTACAACCATGTCCAGCTTTTGCACGAGTATTGGGGAACCCCAACTCATACAGGCATGCCTGTGTGACAGGGACTTTACCCACTACCTCCCCAGTCTGAGGGTGATTTTTCTGATGCGAGGGAAGGAGAGCCCTAGCCTGGCATGTGATCACCAGAGAGTCCTGCGTCTGGCCTCAAAGTACAGTTGTGATGATGGATGTTTTCATGTCCATTATCTCGTTCACATGGAAAGTTTATAAAAGCAGCTAGCTCGCACATGTGCACGCACACACGCGCACACACACACACCCCTAGCATCATGCAGCTGACCTCTGTCCCCAGTATTTTCCCCATGGACCAGTTTCCTGTCCACTCTGCCACTTGATCCAAAGTTCGTCACCCTCCAAACCTTCCCTATTGAAAAGAGCAGAGAAAGTGTTAGTTCAGTACATTTCCCAGCCGCTAGAAGTGAAATCTCTGGAATCAGGACAATACAGCCATTATAAGTGACTCACTTCCGGAGGGTTTTGAGAAAATGTTTTTAACTCCGCAGAGCCTTGGCCAAATCCCTGGGTGGAGTCCCCTCCACAGCAGTGCTGGGGTCACCGAGGTGAAAGAAGTGAGGGGTCATGTTTAGTCCCTACGGCTTTCCTGCAGGGATCAGGAACCCGGTGCCAAAAAAAAAAAGGGACAGAGCAGGTGAAGTGCTGGCAGTCACTTCAGGCCATCAAAGACACAAACCAGGAAGATCACCAGTGTCACCCAGGGCCAGTTAGTGACAGGATGATTGAACCGGTGGCACAGAAGGAACCAAGCACTTGAAATATGCGGAATTAGCAATCTATCAACGTCTGAAGAGAAGTTAAGTCTGAGTACATTTGCAGAGATACGTTTTTCCCAGTCATGTTTGCCTTTGTGGCATTTTTTTTTCTCAACAGGAAACAGAAAACAACCAACCAACCTTAGAGTAGTGAACCTCAAATAAATTAATGTGTGGCATGAAAATCAGACACTTGATTATAGGTGTGTGTGCTCTGGAAGGGAGCTGCAAACTATAACCATAAATCAGTGTTATTTGAACAAAAAATTACTGGAAAGGTACTGAAAGGGTGAAAACATATATGGCATTCTTATTTTAAAATACGCGAGTGAAACAAAATATAAGCCCAAACTTCAGTCCCAAACAGCTATGTCTGTGGGCCTTCGCAGACAGGGGTGGAAAGATGGCACAGTAGGCAGGAGCTCTTCATGAGCAAGCGGGATGACCTGAGGAGTTCAGATCCCAGCACCCACGTCAGAAGCCAAGTGTGACTGCCTACGCCTGTAACCCAAGCACCACCGTACCAGTGGAGACTGGATCAGCGGGGCTCCCCGACCGTCAACCTAGCCGCAGTTTCGTTAAGAGACCCTGCCTCAAAGAAATAAGACAGAGACTGACAGAGCAGGACACTAAGCATCCTCCACATGTGCACACACACACACACACACACTCACCTTACAAACAGTGACTCATAAAGCAGGAGCTCACTACTTAGAGGCTACTGAGTGTTACTGACTCTAGCTAGCTCCCATATAATCTATGCCTGTCAAAGAGGTATTGTATAAACTAAGGACACCGAGTTGTGGTGGAAGGGAAGGTTTTCATTATAAACATGAGGGAGACAGCCAGAGCCATCCAGAAGTGTCCAGAGCAGGAAGAAGTAGCAGACGGAACATGGCCAGCAGAATGGGCTTGGTCGTGCGAAGAGAGAGAGAGGAAGAGCAAGAGAGGAAGACAAAGAGAACGAGGGCAAAGGGAACTGAGGAGGAGGGGGCTAAGCCAAAACAGTCAGGTTATAAGGGAGTCAGAAGCTAGGGAAGGGAAGCCCATGCGTTGGAGCGGTGTAGGGTAGGGGATGGGGTGAGAAGGGGTGAGAAGAGCTGAGCGTGTCAACCCCGCCCGTCGAGAATAAGGCCACTACCACAATTTAAAGCCATGTTTGAAACAAGCTTTTTATTAAATACTGGTCGGTTCGATGGACTTTCCAACCAGGTCCATCTCTGGGTTTCCAGAAAATGGCCCCAAGTCACGGTTTGCAGGGGCTGATAAAGGCAAAACCGGTAATTCCAATCAGGGATAAGCATACATCCTGACTCCCTCCCTGCCTGTGAACCTCACCCCCACATGTGATCAAGCACATCAGGTGCAGATGGGTCAAATGACCTTGTTTAAGGGAGTGAAAACATGTGGTTTGTGGTGTCCCCTGAGCAGCCTCCAGCATTTCAAGCAAGTACCTGTCCTTAAGCAGGTCAGAGGCTTTCTTGTTTCATGGATCTCTTAGGCACAATAATTAAAATGTAACTTTTGTTCTCACAGATGCCAGCATGGACTCACGTTGTTTTAATCTAAGTTACTCTATTTGCCATGAAGACTCAGGACTCAGATACTGGGGTGAAAAAAATCTGCTAGATCAGAGACGCCGAGAAGCAACCATTTTTAATCTTCCTTATAAGCCTCCATACTCTCTATGACTATATCTTGTCAACTAGTCCCTGGCTCGGCCCCCAGTCCAACGTTAACTTTATCAACACAGTCTCGGAGAGTCACCGTGGGAACAAATATCCCGCAACGGACTTGGTAGCAGATACTCGTGATGCTGGGAGGGCCTGGTGGCCAGCATGTGCTTGGTGTGCTAGTAGTGCCACAGATAGCATTTGTGTGGGATTCCTTCTGGACCTGGCAGTGATGATGGTTTTAAGACAGTGGGCGATGCTTGGGAGTAAATAAGCGTCTCTGTAGCCAGCATTTTTACATGTGGCATTGATTTCCCTTCGCCCTCTGAGAACTGGTTCATATATTAGGTCATCATTTAAGCAAACTGCTCATAAGAAATAATAAAAAATATTCTGAATAGAAGCTTCAGCTCATAGCAATTCATTTATTTGCTGAGGGTCAAGAGACTGGTGTATTATTTGTGGAAACAAAGGGATTGACAGGAATAATTTGCCTTTTTAACACCTAAGAGGACAAGTGTTTTTGGGATGATGGGGGGGGGACAGACAGACAGACAGAGACAAGCGCTTTAGTTTATTTTTCCCAGCCTCCTTTTTCCTCGATGGTAAAATGCTATACAGGGAATTTTTAAATATGGTGATGTATGAGAAAATGCTTCAAAATGCTGTTTGCATTAGCATATACTGGGGCAAGCATTGCCTTGGCTCTTCTGCATTACAGGCCAGCTCTATGGGTAAGTGACAGGTAGAGCAAGCCTTCTAGCCTGCTAAGTACGTCCACTCCAGACTGGTCAGGAAGGGCTGACTCTGTGGTGGTTCTACCACATTGAATGAAAGACTGAATGACCCCTCCCTCCCTTAATGTGATAATGTAGTTTGCTGATACATACCCTACCCTGCTTTTTATTTTGTTTGAATTTTAGTAAGGCTGGCTTTTACGTCATTGCATGGTAGGTTTTTTGTTTTTTGTTTTGTCTGAACTGTTTTTAAGCTCTCAGCATTTTAAGAACTGTATCGAGTGGAATGAAAGTGAGTGAGATTGGGGGAAGAGGCTCAAGATCAAGTGTTTCGTTTTCATGAGGAGACATGTGACTTCCACCCTTTCCTGGCTGAGGCAGCCTTATCAGGTTCTGATCCGGAGATATTTGAAAAGATTCCTTGTAAACGGAGGCTTTTCTGTGTCCTGCCCATTCCAGCCGCTGCTTATAAAATAACCACTCCGAGGCTTCATATTACTTATAATTGTTTGGCTGATGGCTCAGGCTTATTACTAGCTAGCTCTTACATATAAATTAAATTATTCTATGTATTGCCACATAGCCGTGGCCTTACCTCATTTTCTACATGTCTTACTTCCTCGGTGGCAGGCTGGCATCCCCTTGGCCCCCCACCCGCTTTCTCCCTGTACATATTCAGTTTGGCTTTCCTGCTTTCAGTTTGGCTTTCCTGCTTTCAGTTTGGCTTTCCTGCTTTCAGTTTGGCTTTCCTGCCTAGCTATACCCTGCCCTGCCATAGGCCAAATCAGCTTTATTCATCAACCAATGAAAGCAACGCACATTCACAGCACACAGAAGGACCTCCCACATCAATCCCTCCCTGGGGGACCCCACACCGACAATAAGCACTGAACAAGGAAACTGGTAGCTGTGTGACCTCGGCAGAAAGTTCCCACCCAGGGCAGGGAAGATTCCTTGGCAGAGGAATATAGTCAGCTTCTGAGGGACTAACATGTGTTTACTCTTACAGATTTACATTCTACTTACTCTTGCTGCAGTGTTGGGGTTTATTTCCTTACTCCTCTGAGTCTAAAGGTCTCGCTCTCTGCTCTATCTGTTTAGATGTCTTCAGCTGCAAAAGCACTTTGCCCTTAGCTCTAACACAGGCATCCCATAACAAGGAAACGCTCAGGGTCCGTTCGGTCTGTGGCACTCTTGGAGTGCCAGTTCAGAAGTCCAAGTTTAACATTTTGTTTTTTCCAGGCTGTACCCACGCCACGCAAGCGCACTCAACAACCTCGGGACGCTCACAAAGGACACGGCGGAGGCAAAGATGTACTACCAGAGGGCTCTGCAGCTCCACCCCCAGCACAACCGTGCACTCTTCAACCTGGGGAATCTCCTGAAGTAAGTAGGGTGGCTCCTGCCAGCTGGAGGGTGGCCCGGAGAGTGCCGGAGACCCTGGTTTCATGGCGCTACTGATGTCTCCTCCTACCGATGAATAGTTTTCACACCTTCGACGCCATTAATTCTGTATCTCTCAGGTGTGTTTCTGGCATCAGTCCGTTGCTTGTTGCCGGGAACTGAGAAGGGTTGCGTAGCCAAGAAAACGTAGGATGTGCAGTGTTACAAAGAGAGCTACAGAGAGCTTTCCTATGCCCCAGGTCTCTTGTGAATCTTTCTGAAGGACTCCATGGTGTACAGCCGTTCCAAGGCTGATACTCCACAGTATACGTCCAAAACAGCAGTGTTCTCTAAGGGTGAAATGAAGGGCCTCACCAGGAATCACACTCAGCTTGGATTAAGGAAAAAAGCAAAAGCAGAAACAAAGCCAGGCTTGTTTGGAGTTAGAAATTCTCAGGAGGGGGCCCGCAAATGTGGCTCAGGGGTTAAGAGCAAGCAGTGCTCTTGCAGAGGGACCAGGGCTCAGTCCCCAGCACCCATTTTGGGGAATTCGTAACTGCCCGTAACTCCAGGTCCAGGGAATCCGATGACCTCTTCTGGACTCCACAGGCACCCACACATGTGTGAACATACTCACACAGACACATGCACACAAACAGAAATAAACCTTAAAAGATAAAATGGTAACAGATCAAAAGGCACGAGAAGGGTGAGTTCTAGTTACTGAGACTGCTGGCTAGCTGCAGGCATCACATTTACTTCACTTTAGAACCTCTGTGAACACTGTGACTGTGTGTGAAGTTGTAAGGACTCGGGTCTGAACGTCACTGGAGTGTCTATGTGTGCTTTGTTCATGGATCAGATGAGTGGGTAGAAAATCCCACAGATATCTCCTTAGAGATATCTGGTTTCTATAGCATGCATTTCAGAGATCTTTTCAATAAGTGTTTTGTTGCTGTTGTTGTTTTTCTAAGAAGTCAAGCTGAATGGCTGGCTGCAGAGTGAGAGTCCTCGTAAGGGATGCTGTGCCCAGGGTCCTGTGCTCAGACTGTACAGCATGACTCTGTGGCAGGGGTTCTGTCCCCTTTCCTCCTGCTGGGGACCAAGCTGACAATGTTAACCCCAGCCCTTCTTCCATCCATCAGCCTGTCTTCACTGGCTTCTTCAATGGTTACATCTGAGTTAAAAACCTTAGGAAAGAGTGCTTTAGAACGTAGTTATGACTGCCTTGCAGTGAGAGAGGCTCCTGACTTACCAGCGTAAGGCTTTCCCCTGCTTAGTACAATCAGTTATCACCCAGATCTATAGTGTGGCTTTACACCTGTGTAAGAATGGGACAGACTCTGGGGGCTGATGGGGGGGGGCATCCTTCTCCTATTGGTTGATGAATAAAACACTGTTTGACCAATGGAGGCAGAAAGATAGGCGGGACTGGGAGGCGAGGAGAATGCTGGGAAGAGAAGAGAGAGAGGCGGAGGAGACACAATGTAGAGACCGGGAGGAGAGGACACGCCAGGCATTCTCTGGTAAGATAAGGTCATATAGAAATATATAGATTAGTAGTTATGGGTTAATAATTAAGAGAGAGATAGCCAGTAAGAAGCCCTAGCCATTGGCCAACAGTTTTACAATTAATGTAGCATCCGTGTGTTTATTTGGGGCTAATCGGCTGCGGGACCAGGGGGGACAGAAACCGCCATCTTCAGGGGGTCTTTCATTTTTCATGGTGCTCTTCCAGTGAGACTTCAGTGTGAGTAGGGAAGGGGAAACGGGGACCCTAAGACATGCCAGGAATAAGGAGAAGCAGTCTCAGTGTGAGTCTCAGAATCCAGTGGATGAAATCATGTTAATAGCTAACATCCGTGTAGTACTTTCTAACCAACAAGTGATATGCACAATATTCTTGTAACACATGTGTGCCTGTATATAGCTGCACTACGGAATTCTTAAAACAACCTGTACTAGGAGGTATCACCATCTTCACCTCCTTTCACAGGTAAGGGACCCAAGGCTCCTCCAAGAGCTATGTGACCCTGACTGACCTAGGCTTGTGACTGACCCAGGATTGAACTGTCTGCCTTTTGACTGCTTGTCTTGTTTGCTTTATATTCCTGTTTGTCCTAAATAGTTCACCAGCCCCCAGGTTGTATAACATTAAGCTGTGTAAGAGCTTGTCTTGGCCTTGTATAGACTTCCTAATAGTCTTTCTGAAGGAAACAGTCCAGTTTGTTTTCATCATGCAGAGGTTGCTTGCTGAGTGACAAAGGAAGATGATGCAGAAAACTGCAGGGCTACTCTGCATTTAAATGGCTCTGAGCTAACCTCTGCTTCCCCTAATGGGCGTCTGAGCCAGTAGTAATGAGTAGAAATCAAGAAAAGGGTAAGAATGTTGCAAATGTGGGGTGAAGTGTGGGGATCCACTGTTTCTTCATCTACGCCCTAATTGCCTCTGGAGTCAGCTTTTGAGTTGTTGGAGTTTGCTTTATAAAACCATGACTCTTTCTGTAGAGTAGATCGTAATGCTCACTCTTTGTATATGAGCAGCTCAGGTCTGACCATTCCTAAGAGGCATTTACTCACCATTCCTATTTAATAAACGAGGACACTAAAGTTTGGACTAGAGAAACCTCAGTCCCTTTAACCTAGCAGACCTAACCACCGCCTCCTAGTGACCCCAATGGAAAGTGCTGGCCAGCTGTGAAACGGCCATCAGCTGCCTGGCAGGAGCTGTGTGAGAGCTGTGTATGCAATGTCAGGAAGTCATTTTAAAACATGTAAAAATGAGCTTTAATTGTATCTTTAATTAAACTCTAATCTGTCTAAATTATTATTTTAGTACAAGATTAATATTTTACAATGGCTTAAATTTTTAGCATAAAACATTGAAGATATGAATGAGATGGCATGCGTCCTTATGCCAAATCCGTTAAATCTAATACATATTTGATGCTCACAGCCCGTCTCAGCGGAGTTATACTTCACATGTGTGATAACCACACGTGGGGATGTTTTCTCTCTTGACCAGCACTGACTTTTTACTAATAGCCTGGACTTTGAAGGAATCACAGGTCCTTTGTCCAGGCCTGAAAGTCTGAAAATGAGATGCTTCTCTGTAGTGCCAGCCAGCTCATTGCAAGCTGCTCAGATTCTTGGAATCATGTGACCCCTGCTTCAGGCATAGACTCTAAGGGTCATCCACCTGTATGTGGTCTCATTCTAGCCATTGCTTGCGACTTTGAAGCTTCTCTGTTGTCTGTTCAGCACATTGTGGTAGAAGATTGAGAAGGAGCAGCCCCCTTCATATTGATCAATAATGGCTTCTCTTGGGACCTAAAATATCAAAAAGTAAAAAATAAAGAAAAGCAAGAAGCAAGAAAAGCTTGTGATTTTTTTTTATGGGCAAACATTGCAGAAGTCCCCAGTGTGTCAAGAGGCACAACAGAGTGTTTAAAAATCAGGGTATGGGGAGACATTTATGTGGATACAAGATTAAAATAGAACAATTTAGTTTGTTACTAAAATGAAAAGTGAAGAAATGTCAGGGGTCCTGTCATACCCCTGCTACAACAAGCTGCCACTCCTGTTAGAGGGTGTGGGTGTCCAAAGTATTCCTGTGAATCTGGTGATAACAGTGACAGAGTATACCAGAATGTCCAGCAATGGAACTGTGTGATAAACTGTGTGATAGATAGCAATGTGTGTTTTAAGACGTGGAAACATGATTATTATCTTATAATAAATTTAAATGTTTGGTACATACTTCCTCATAGCATCTTCATTGGCCACACAATGTGTTTATGAAAGGACATCTGTATGCCCACAAGATGGTAGATCTCTACTTCTCGGCTTTGGTCTCTTTTGAGACAGAGTTTCACTCTGTAGCTTAGCCTGGCCTTAAACTCATGACAGTCCTCCAGTTTCAGCCTCCCGGGTACTGGGTTTTCAGTCACAAACTCTTACTTTTTGACTTCAGCACAAAATACCAGTTTAGTGGGTAAAGGTGCACTTTCCCTGGCTGTACCCTTGTGGACAGCATGTCAGCTATGTGTGGTGATATATTATTTATCATTTATTAATGCTTGCCTGAGGATTCAGAAAGCAAAGTCAGCCGCAAGCCATAGAATCTAGGCACACACCTTTTAATCCCAGCAGCCAGAAGCTAGGAGGTGGTGGTACACACCTTTAATCCTAGGACTCAGGGTTAAGAGGTAGACCGATCTCTGTGAGTCTAATGGCACCCAGATCTACACAAGATTGATCCAGTCCTAAAGAGAAACAGCTCACACAAAAGTGACCTCAGCACCTGGGATCACACGCCTTTAATCCCAGCACTAGAGGGGTATAAAAGACAGGAGCAGGGTCTTCAGTGGTCATTATTGGGCATTCATTCTCCAGCCACATTGAGGATAGGAAGACATTGAAGTCTCAGGATTCTCCAGCCATGCTGAGCAGAGGTTACAGTCTGAGATTTGTAAAGCCAGGATGGCCTTTCAGTCTGAGGTAGAGTAAGAGCTAGTGACCGGTTGCTTTGCCTTTCTGATCTTTAACTTGAAGCTTGAACCCCAGCATCAACCTCTGTGTCTTCTATTTGCCATGCAACAGCTATGGGTGGACATGTTCTGGTTCTACCGTTTGGCCTGAAACCCTCCACTCCCTGTCATAGTTACCTATTTGTGGTTAGGTTGCTTCTAGCTTTATTTATCTCTCGTCCTAATCCATTATGCCTTTCCCGTCTCATCTTAGCCTAACTCACGCCTGTCTCTCCAGCTTCCAAAGCCCAGCTCAGCATCTCATGATGCCATCTGCATCGTCATCTCTGCTCTTCATAGTATTCTCTGTACTCTCCCAGCATCACTGTCTTGAGCACCAGGCAGTGCTTTTCACTGTCCCACAACCTCTGTTGCCATCAGTAGTGAACTTCAGTGTCTATGCCAGTTCCCCGGGTTCTGTTCATTCTTCTCTGTCCTGCACTTGGGTTCATCCTTCTCTCCAAGGCTGTCAAC